CCACACACACACACATAACACACACACACACACACACACACACACGTCTGTATTTTGCATAATTATTTTTTTAGCTTTAAAATTTATATAGATTAAATTTATATGGAATAATAGAAAATTAATTATTATTAAAAATATTATGTTTATCTTGTGCTCAAAATTGTAATTATAAAGAAAGAATATTATTCAGGAAAAAAAATTCTCCTATCATTATTTTTATTTTTTTTATTGTTATTTCAAACATCGTACACAATGATCATTTTAATTCTTGAACTTAATTCTTCATTGATTTAATAGTTAAAATTATTATGATTGATAATTATAGTTGTTATTTAATCTTAAATATTTTAAATTAATGTTTTTTTATATTTATGCATTGATTGTATATTGAGCAGTATTGGAGTGTGACTGACTGCTAAAAGCCGCCATATTGTTGGTTGTACAAAACGGTCATGCGCGAGAGACAATTATTAGTATGCTTTTTGACAGAGTGAGCCTACTGTTCTTTCTTACTGTGACCGTAATAATTCAGGATATTTTTGATTCTACTTAATCATAAATTTTTCTGCGTATCAAAATTCTGAAAATATTAATTATAACAAAAATTTTGTTATTACAATAATGTTATTATAATATTTACCATTATGAGCTAAATCGTAAATATCTTTTCCTACAAAATTATATATTTTATTACCGTCTTGAATTTCCAAATAAAATATCTTCGGATTACATGGCAATTTCCATAAAAAAAGAGGGGATAATGTTGGTAGTAACGAAAATCCTTAGACAACACAATTTAATTTCTGTGGATTGGTGATACTGTATAAGTAATAATCTGTTAGTTGCGGAAACTTTTTTGACATGCGTATATGCATATGTCATATGATGTGCATATATAAAATAATAATAAGATATTTTCTAACGTATTTTCTAAAGTATTTTCTATAATAATAAACTATTTTCTAAAATAAAATAAGGTATTTTCAAAAAAAAGAATCGAAAAAAAGAATCGGTCCAACACATTTATAGTCATAGTGTGTATATAGATAAATTATTTTCCATTTTATAAGAATATTAGTTACTTATCTGATATTTATCTCTTCTCCATTTGCTTCTCCTTATTTTTTTTACTAATATATTTTATATTTACGGTTAGAAAATGTAGACCGTTGTCTAAA